CATGTTCTTATAGTTCATCTCGAGAGCTTTCCAAACACTATAATTAGTTTTCATTAAGTATTTTCCGAGTTATGAGAATTGAAATCATTCCTTAATTTTACATAAACCGTAATATATCTAGTAAAATATTCATTTTTCGATTATCTTGCCTTAATACTTTTATGTATAAAATAATGGGAGGAATCAATTGGTGTAAAGAAAACACAGTTATTTTTAAGAAAAAATATGTAATTTGCAATTAACAATTACATATTTTTTCTTCGAAACAATTATGTGTTTTTTTTTTACACCAATTGATTCCTTTCATTATTTTGTACATAAAAGTATTAAAGCAAGATAATCGAAAAATGAATATTTTACTAGATATATTACGGTTTATGTAAAATTAAGAAATGATTTCAAGCTTGACTCGGAAAGTACTTAATGAAAACTAACTTAATTATTAACTTAATTATAACTTAATAGTGTTTTGGAAAGTTCTCGAGATGAACTATAAGAACATATAAAAGCATATAGGGTGTCCCATTTAAAAAGTTGGATGTGACCTTCAGGTGACTCTCTTCAATGTCAAACTAATGACACCATCTTATGTCCCCCTTCAAGCCATATAATTCTTGTGTGAAACATTTTTTTCTATAATCAAAATTTAAAAAATTATGAGAGTGGAACTTTTAAAATGGGACACCCTGTGTACGTGTATATATATATATATATATATATATATATATGATTAAAATGGGTCACGGTATATATATATATATATATATATATATATATATATATATATATACAGGGTGACCCATTTTAATTTTCCCAGCCAAATATTTCGGAAAATAATGAAAAATCGAAAAAATGTTTCAGACAAAAGTTGTATGGTTTCTAGGGGGACATAAGATGCACCATTGGTTTGACCTTGAAGAGTTATTTGAAGGTCACATGAAGGTCACCTCAATCTTTTCAAATGGCACCTCCTATTTTTTATTACATATTCTTGTAGCTTATCTCGAGAGCTTTCCAAAACACTATAATTAAGTTAGTTTTCATTAAGTACTTTCCGAATTATGAGGCTTGAAATTATTTCTGAATTTTACATAAACCATAAAATATCTTGTAAAATATTCATTTTTCGATTATCTTACCTTAATACTTTTATGTACAAAATAATGAGAGGAATCAATTGGTGTAAAGAAAACATAGTTATTTTTAAGAAAAAATATGTAATTTGCAATTAACAATTACATATTTTTTTTAAACAACTATGTGTTTTTTTTACACCAATTGATTTCTCTCATTATTTTGTACATAAAAGTATTAAGGCAAGATAATCGAAAAATGAATATTTTACTAGATATATTACGGTTTATGTTAAATTAAGAAATGATTTCAAGCCTCATAACTCAAAAAGTACTCAATAAAAAAATATTTTATTATAGTGTTTTGGAAGGCTCTCGAGATAAGCTACAAGAATATGTAATGAGAAAATGTAGGTTCCATTTAAGAAATTGAAGGTGACCTTCAAATAACTCTTCAAGGTCAAACCAATGGTGCCATCTTATGTCTCCCTAGAAACCATACAACTTTTGTCTGAAACATTTTTTCGATTTTTTATTATTTTCCGAAATATTTGGCTGGGGAAATTAAAATGGGTCACCCTGTATATATATATATATATACACAGGGTGTCCCAGATCACCCGTTCATCCCTTTCAAAATGAAAATGAATGACTTTTATCAAAAATCGCGAACAATTTTTAAGTAAATTTTAAGTAATTTTTAAATAAATCGGGTACGCTCTATCAAATGGTGATATTTTCAACTTTCGATTCCGACCGAAAATACGGCATCCAGATCGGAAGTTGAATTTTTTAGGGGAACACATGGTACTTTTTATTATAGATTCGAATTGTACGTGAAAGAATATGAAACTTTTGTATTTAACGTTTTCTCTGAAAGTGCCTCTGTCAATCTTAACATTTGAAATCATTATTTCATCACAGTTACTTTCAAGGTCAATTTTAAGATTGATAGAGGCACTTTCAGAAAAAACGTTTGATAGAAAAGTTTCTTATTTTTTTACGTACAATTCAAATCTGTAATAAAAGGTACCACCCTAAAAAATTCAACTTCCGATCCGAATGACGTATTTCCGGTCGGAATCAAAAGTTGAAAATATTACCATTTGATAGAGCATACTCGATTTACTTAAAAATTATTTGCGATTTTTGATAAAAGCCATTTATTTTCATTTTAAAAGGAGTGTACGAGTGGTGTGGGACACCTTGTATACAAGGTGTTCGGAAATTCAACCGACAAATTTTTGAGAGATTGTCGAGGGCACCATAAGAATCATTTTTTGCAAATGCCTGGGGTCGTGTCATTACATCGCTATGGCATACGGAATGTTCGAAAGAATCGGGACCTCGAAATATCACAAAAAATAGAAGTTTTACAAAAAATTGTTTCAAACAAAAGTTGTAGGGTGTAAAAAGGTCTATTTACATGTATTTGACCTTGGATGACGTCGTCAAGGTCACAACAAGGTCACCTTGAATTTTTGAAATGGAATTCTCCACCTTTTATTGCATATTCTTGTAGATTATCTCGAGGGCTTTCCAAAACACTATAATAAAATATTTTTCTCTCAAGTACTTTTTGAGTTATAAGGCTTAAAATCATTTCTTAATTTTACATAAATCATAAAATATCTTGTTTGTAAAATATTTAATAAAATATTTTTCTCTCAAGTACTTTTTGAGTTATAAGGCTTAAAATCATTTCTTAATTTTACATAAATCATAAAATATCTTGTAAAATATTTATTTTTCGATTATCTTACCTTAATACTTTTATGTACAAAATAATGAGAGGAATCAATTGGTGTAAAGAAAACACATAGTTGTTTTGAAGAAAAAAATATATAATTTGCAATTAACAATTACATATTTTTTCTTAAAAATAACTATATGTTTTCTTTACACCAATTGATTCCTTAGCGTTATTCCTGATTAAAAATCGAGTCCAAAAGTCTTTAACCATTTTTTTCTTTAACATATTAATATTCTTTAACATATACCTATATATATATATATATATATATATATATATATATATATATATATATAATATGTTAAAAATTATTTTTTTTTAAGAGTGCGAACTACTTGTCCACGTCTGCTTATCAACAATGAAAAAGTAGGTATGCAAGATCGTTTATCACGGTTCTTAGGACTACGACAAGGTTTAATGTTTGATACCAAGAGTGCGCAAGGAGGACGCGATATAGCTTGGCTGGGTGATTGTGACACTGGTTGTCAACTGTTGGCAGATAAACTTGGCTGGGGGGTAAAATTTTTATATTTATATTTTTATGGCTTATTTTGTTTTGCTGTCACGTCCTGATAACTCCGATTCCGTGAAACAAGCAATTCCAATGATTTTGAGGACGTTCTACAGAACATTATGAGTTCTTACAATAAAGGGGATAAAACTCAAGAATAAATAGCTGCTTAGAGTTTGATTTTCTTCGCTAGAATAAGAAAGAAATATGGCGATATTTAAATTTTTAAGAGAAATTTATATATATATTGTTTATGTTGATGTGCATTTAAAATTTTTATTTTTAATTAAATTAATCTAATAGTATGTCATAATTATTTGTCATAGTTATGTCCTAGTTATGTCCTATTTACGCTTTAATTTACGCTGGAATTGAATCGAAATAAATCTAATCTATAAACTTCTAATCTTCTAAGACTAGTCTAATCTTCTAATCTTCTTTTCTTGTTATAGAAGCGTTTTTTTATGTTTCTAAAATTGAGTGGCAACTGTAGCATTATGTATCGAAATTTTAGGAACGAATTCTTTGAACTATTCTAAGATTTAAGAAAAAGATTTTTGCAAACAGGTTTGAGTAGTCTTTCAAAAGAAAATTTTCTATGAATATATATCAGTTTCATTTTCTAAATGCAATGCTTGCAAGATTGCGTCTTACATTTTAGTTAATTATAGTTATATTTATAATACTTTATCGTAATTTATATAATACTTTACCTATATATATATATATATATATATATATATATATATATATATATATATATATATAGGTAAAGTATTATATAAATTACGATAAATAAAAGAAGTAATTAAAAACGACCACACTGGCAAATTTTTTATCAAAGTGAATCACGATGTTTCGACTATGGTTTTCCTTTTCGCGTGAACTACAAAAAATTATTTCCAGAATTACACAAAAAAAATAAATTACATTGATTTTGAAATAAAAAATGAGCGGCAAGTTAAATACATACAATAATTTAGTTAACTATTCTATCGTGAGAAATAAGGAAATCACTTCGTCAAAATTATCATGTCAACCGTCTCCATCAACACACAGAGAAAGACTAGACAACCTTTATTAGTCTATCATAAATATTGTCTAAATTTTCAGTGTCCTTTTGTAAATTGATCGTGTTGTCAAACTTTTTTATAAAAAACATTTCGGCGATTTCTCTCTTTCTTACGTGTTCCACATTATGTAAAATAACCGGTAATGACCAATCGAAGTCATGAAATTCAACTTTATGTTTACTGATAACAGAAAAATTACTTTCGTGCACTTTTATGTTGTTGCGATGTTCTTTTACACGAGTGCTTACATGTCTTTTTGTTTGGCCAATATATGACTTGTTACAATTTTTGCAGTCTAATTTGTAAACGACTTCCGTCATGTTATTAGTAAACAGCCTATCTTTACCACGTTTAATTAATGCGTTAAGTTTTTTAGGCACATTGTAAACGATATTAAGACCTACATTTTTAATCGATAGTCCGTTATATAACGTGCAATACATCGCGCAATACATTCACGATATACTAAAGATTTCGATCTTGGAACCTAAATCTCATATTAAGGATGGATGTTTGCCAGCATTTTGAAAATATAAGTTTATCAGGGATGACGAAATAATGATTTTTCTCGATGTTACTGCATTGCTCACTAATATTCCCAAAGATTTAGTTTTAAGTGCGGTCACTAAACGTTGGAATCACATTGCCTCTAACAAGAAATTCAACTTATCTCAGTTCTTATACGCGATTGAAACGGTTCTGGACTCCACTAGTTTTTCATTTAATGGACAATTCTACGAACAAATTTTTGGTAGTCCTATGGGTTCCCCCCTGTCACCTATTCTGGCAGATATCGATGGATGACTTGGAAACGCATTGCTTAAGTCAACTAAGTTTTAATGTTCCGATGTATTATAAGTATGTTGATGACATTTTTACCATTGTTCCACGCTCAAAAGTTGAAGCGATAAAATCGACCTTTAATAATTACCATCAACGCTTATCATTTACGCATGAAACCGAGTCTGATTCTTGATCAGTTTTCTTGACACGATTGTTATCCGATCGGATGGTTGTCTTTTTATTGATTGGTACAGGAAACCCACCTATTCCAATAGATATACTAATTTTTATTCTAAACATCCGTTCCAATATAAAATGAACACCATTTACAATCTTGTTGACCACGCTATTTTATTGGCAGATACTCGATTTCATTCCAAAAATATTGATATCGTTAAGCAGATTCTTTCCAACAATTGCTTTCCAAATCATATTATTAACCGTTATGTACAAAAAAGACTATTTTTTAAAACACCATGATAACGCGAATATGGACAATGAATCCGACAATGCAGTTACATCTTCGTACATTTCCTTGCCATTTGTGGAGGGCTTGAGTAGTGAAATTGGCCGCGTTTTTAAAAATGTAGGTCTTAATGTCGTTTACAATGTGCCTAAAAAACTTAACGCATTAATTAAACGTGGTAAAGATAGGCTGCCTACTAATAACATGATGGAAGTCGTTTACAAATTAGACTGCAAAAATTGTAACAAGTCATACATTGACCAAACAAAAAGACATGTAAGCATTCGTGTAAAAGAACATCGCAACAACATAAAAGTGCACGAAAGTAATTTTTCTGTTATCAGTAAACATAAAGTTGAATTTAATCATGACTTCGATGGTCATTACCGGTTATTTTACATAATGTGAAACACGTGAGAAAGAGAGAAATCGCCGAAATGTTTTTTATAAAAAAGTTTGACAACACGATCAACTTACAAAAGGACTGAAAATTTAAACAATATTTATGATAGACTAATAAAGGTTGTCTAGTCTTTCTCTGTGTGTTGATGGGAGACGGTTGACATGATAATCTTGACGAAGTGATTTCCTTATTTTTCACGATAGAAAAGTTAACTAAATTATTGTATGTATTTAACTTGCCGCTCATTTTTTATTTCAAATTCAATGTAATTTACTTTTTTTGTGTAATTCTGGAAATAATTTTTTGTAGTTCACTCGAAAAGGATCAAAACCATGGTCGAAACGTCGTGATTCACTTTAATAAAAAATTTGCCTGTGTGGTCGTTTTTAATTACTTCTTTTATTTTATTTACTGGCGACCTTCAAGAGTTTAATGTTATTTTTATACGATAAATAACTTTTTTAAAAATTTATAATAGACATTTATCATAGTTTTTACATAATTAGATTTTTAATTTTTTTGAACGCAATTTATACGATTTTATATCATTTCTATATCGAACGGATACAATAAGACTACAATCTATATAATAAAAGAAATACACGTTTAAAAGTTTATACCTTCAAATCGATCTTCATTTTTTTAAGATTCTCGCTTAAGGTATCTCACGTAGACGATTTATACATATATATATATATCTTTCTCAGATTCGCACCTTATTATAGGTTGCATATAAGAATATATCTCTTAGTTTCTTATATATATTTCTCATCGCCTATTGAATATGGAGAATAATGAGAAAATAAAGAAAAATTTTCACGCGATATAGGAGTCGCTAGACGTGACATCATATAGAATTAATATCTGCATGTTTTGATATTTTTATTTTTGTTTAAATATAAATAAAATTTGCTTTTATATGTGTAATATAGATAATAAAGAATTTATAATTTTAGGATGAATTGCGTATTCTTATGCAAAAAGAACATGATAATTTGGATGTAAAAAATCGAAACGACAATTAATTGGGAATAATTGAATATTATATAATGAGGAAAAGTTTTTCCTCTAAGAAGAAGTCATTTTATTGACATATTATTTTATCTCAAAAATGTACTAATACAAAATTTTAGTTAAGGTAGGTAACAAAAACTGTTATTCTTAAAAATTAAATAATATCTACAATACAATCAGTTAAATATGTATATGTGTGATTATTTTATTATTTCTCTTATAAGTAAATAATTAAACAATAATAATATTAATGTGCAATTTTAATTTAGCATTAGGAATTACCGATTCAGCCTTTCCTAATCCATTATTTATTGTCGAACTGTATAAGAAATTCAAAATACATAAACGCTAATGGGTTTTATGGTAAAATCATTCAACATGGAAATTAGAATATAGAGGAATATTTTATTTTTATGGATATTAAATGTTTTATTTATGATTCTGGAAATAACCATTAAATAAAAAGTATTACGATGGTGGTCTATATTTATTCTGTAGTTTTATATTATTCTTTATTCATAAATTTAATACTTGTTAAATTTATTGTGCTTCTGATTAGGATGTGGGAACATCGTTGGATAATTAAGAAATTCGCGAACTATCAATGGTAGCTAAATATTTATTGTAGTTTATTTGTAATTATAATAATTTATTTTTTATTTTATAAAAACAAAACTATACTTTATACTTTCTTGTAGCTTTATACGCGATGTGAAATTTATATTTTTCATTTTCTTATCGTGTGTCAAGTGGTTCTCGTTTAAGGCTCCGGGTAGTCCACCGCGGCCATCTTTAAATCGTGACGTCTATATGATTCTGGAAATAAATTAAATAAAAAGTATTACGATGGTGGTCTATATTATTCTGTAGTTTTATATTATTCTTTATTCATAAATTTAATACTTGTTAAATTTATTGTGCTTCTGATTAGGATGTGGGAACATCGTTGGATAATTAAGAAATTCGCGAACTATCAATGGTAGCTAAATATTTATTGTAGTTTATTTGTAATTATAATAATTTATTTTTTATTTTATAAAAACAAAACTATACTTTATATTTTCTTGTAGCTTTATACGCGATGTGAAATTTATATTTTTCATTTTCTTATCGTGTGTCAAAGTGGTTCTCGTTTAAGGCTCCGGTAGTCACCGCGGCCATCTTTAAATCGTGACGTCATAAGCGAGAAAGGACACCCTGATTTATATTGCGATTGACATCTAAATAAAATCATATTTGAATGAAATAAGACTACAAATCTCTTCAGCACACCTGTAAAAATGGACAGATACTAATCCTTTCCTTTCATAATTTATAAATAGCCGTAAATTGAGTCCGAAATGAAGCCTTGAAAATGCGAAAAAACACGCGATTTGACAGCTGTCGAAAGGAGAGGAAAATGTTACTTTCTAAAGTTTATTCCTTATACAGCTTAATATCCGTCCATTTTTACGTTTCCTTTATACATTGCACACCACAACACTAGCACAAAGCAAATAATTATGAAATGGGACGCAATGTAAATTGGGCTGTCATTTCTCGCTTACAAGGCCATTATTCACGCCTTATACTTCATCGATTTATAGCAGTGAGGCACTGCATGAGAATTTTGACATGTGGGTAACGTATGGGTAATATGTCGATACCATGTAGGTAACGTAGAAATATTTATACATAATGAGGCCCTTGTACAATGCCAAGCAAGAGAAATAGGAATAGGGAAGAATATAGGAAAGAGAGAGAGGAAAGATATTATTTATTATAATAAAAATAATTAATATTAAAATCTATTTCATATGAAATACGATATTTTATTAATATTATTATTTTATATAATATTATAATTATTATTGTATATATTATTATATATTATTATATATATTTTTTAATATTTTAATATGAATAATTAAAAATGAAAACTGGCCCAGATTCAGATCCTCGTCCTCTCCATCCTCTTCTTCCTTCTCTCCATCTTCCACCTTTCCATCCTCCTCTCCAGTCTCCTGTACTGTCTCTTCTCCAGTTTCCTCTCCATCTTCCACTTTTCACTCTTGTTAAGTAATGTACACAGCAAACGTAGCAATTAAAAAATTAAATTAAATTTACAAAATAGAAATAATTTTAAAACTTTTTGTATATATTTAAAAATACATACTTTTTATTTCTTTCCTTTAATTTTGTTCCTCCTCTTTTCTTCTTCTTTTCCTTCTCTTTTGTTTCATTTTCTTTATCTTCGTCTTCATTAGTCGACTCTTCTTCTACACTCATCTCATTTTCTTCTTCATCCTTTCTTCTTTCATCTTTTCTTTCTCTCTCTATGCTCTTTTTCCAATCTGCAAATTCAATCATGTCGTTTATTAAATGTTTTATTTACAGGACTTTAATTTAAAGAATACTCTAACAAAAAAAGAAAATAATCTAAAAAGAAAACGATACATGTTATATATATATATATATATATATATATATATATATATATATATATACAGGGTGACCCATTTTAACTTAGGCAGCCAAATAACTCGAAAAATAAGCACACTACGAAAAAATGGTTAGAATCAAAATTTCGTCATTTCGAAGGGGACATACAATGACGTTAAAATCAGCCCCCCACCCCTCCCCCTGGGCGGTGAAGGGGGGCAAGTTTGAAATCTTAAATGGGAACCCCTATTTTTCATTGCATATTCTTGTAGCTTATCTCGAGAGCTTTCCAAAACACTATAATTAAGTACCTTTTTATTAAGTACTTTTTGAGTTATAAGGCTTGAAATAATTTCTTAATTTTACATAAACCATAAAATATCTAGTAAATCATTCATTTTTCGATTATCTTACCTTCATACTTTTATGTACAAAATAATGAGAGGAATCAATTGGTGTAAAGAAAACACATAGTTGTTTCTAAGAAAAAATATGTAATTTGCAATTAACAATTCCATATTTTTTCTTAAAAACAACTGTATGTTTTCTTTACACCAATTGATTCCTCTCATTATTTTGTACATAAAAGTATGAAGGTAAGATAATCGAAAAATGAATGGTTTACTAGATATTTTATGGTTTATGTAAAATTAAGAAATTATTTCAAGCCTTATAACTCAAAAAGTACTTAATAAAAAGGTATTTAATTATAGTGTTTTGGAAAGCTCTCGAAATAAGCTACAAGAATATGCAATGAAAAATAGGGGTTCCCATTTAAGATTTCAAACTTGCCCCCCCTCACCGCCCAGGGGGAGGGGTGGGGGGGCTGATTTTAACGTCATTGTACGTCCCCCTCGAAATGACGAAATTTTGATTTTAACCATTTTTTCGTAGTGTGCTTATTTTTCGAGTTATTTGGCTGCCTAAGTTAAAATGGGTCACCCTGTATATACAGGGTTGGGCAAAAGTCCGGAAACGGTCAAATATCTCGAAAAGGATCAACTATAGCGAAAAATTGTAAATAGCAAAGTTGTAGGGCTTAAAAAAATGTACCTAATGATGACTAAAAATTTTACTTTGAGTGGAGGACGAAGATCATATAAAAGTCAAATTGAATTTTTTAAATGGAACCCCCTATTTTTCATTGCATATTCTTGTAGCTTATCTCGAGAGCTTTCCAAAACACTATAATTAAGTACCTTTTTATTAAGTACTTTTTGAGTTATAAGGCTTGAAATAATTTCTTAATTTTACATAAACCATAAAATATCTAGTAAACCATTCATTTTTCGATTATCTTACCTTCATACTTTTATGTACAAAATAATGAGAGGAATCAATTGGTGTAAAGAAAACATACAGTTGTTTTTAAGAAAAAATATGGAATTGTTAATTGCAAATTACATATTTTTTCTTAGAAACAACTATGTGTTTTCTTTACACCAATTGATTCCTCTCATTATTTTGTACATAAAAGTATGAAGGTAAGATAATCGAAAAATGAATGGTTTACTAGATATTTTATGGTTTATGTAAAATTAAAAAATTATTTCAAGCCTTATAACTCAAAAAGTACTTAATAAAAAGGTACTTAATTATAGTGTTTTGGAAAGCTCTCGAGATAAGCTACAAGAATATGCAATGAAAAATAGGGGGTTCCATTTAAAAAATTCAATTTGACTTTTATATGATCTTCGTCCTCCACTCAAAGTAAAATTTTTAGTCATCATTAGGTACATTTTTTTAAGCCCTACAACTTTGCTATTTACAATTTTTCGCTATAGTTGATCCTTTTCGAGATATTTGACCGTTTCCGGACTTTTGCCCAACCCTGTATATGTCAATTGAATAGTTCAACGACGTCGTCAAATTAACTTGAAACTGTGAATTAACTACTTCTACGACACTGTATACTTTTGACGACATTGTTTATATCTAGTGATTTTGACAACAGTAAAAAAAATTAAAAACGCTAACAAAAAGAATAAAGAAGTAAAGAAGCTATAAACTATTTTTACACACTTATATTTTCTTTATTTTTTTATGTTATAAAAACAGTAAAGATGATAATATAATACTTTCTTGAACAAATTCAGTTGATAGTTTTTTCGCTATATTGAGTACAGTCAGCATAACTAATGTTTGTTTTAAAAAAACTACAAAGGAGCACTTTACTGCAGTTTCCAAATTTTATTTAAATATGTTCTGTATCTTGTAGTTTTGATAAGTCGAACACAAATACTTTCTGTAACTGTAAAGGATTCGACCAATCGCGTTGTTTGATTCGTATGCACTTCCGTATCAAGCTTAATATGTAATATTTATTATTATTATCAATATTTGTTTTTTGTTCTTTATATTTTTGTGCAGAGATTTTTACAAAACCAAGGATCTTAATGTTCGTATCAAACTACACAGATTGAAGATTAAAATTGAAATTAAAGATTGAAGTTTTGCTAATCAGGACAAACTTTTATCTCTTTTTGTTTCGATTAGTTAAATTTCATCATTAATCTTCTATCTTCAATTTTTAATGCGTAATCTAATATAGGCTTAAGGGCCATTCCAGAATGCGTTGTAAATACTCCATTTCCAATTGCGCAGTTACGAACATTTTTCACTGGTCTCACAGCGTACGAATCATTGGCTGCGGTCAGAGAAATGCTGAGGATGCTTTGAAGCGTTCAACTGAATAATCAGATAAATAAATCTTTATTCTTTTTATCCTGATTTGTCAATCAAATGTTTAAAAACATTCATAACGTTACTTTGATTAAGCGGGAAGCACAGACTTTTACGTAAGCGCATAACCATAAGCATAAGGAAATTGATTGGTCCATTTTCTTAAGTATATATTTATGGACCAATCAATTTCTTTATCGCTCTAATCGCTCTTTTCTCGAATTGTTGTTCAATTTCTTTATGTTTATGATTATGCACTTATGCAAAAGTCTATGGTTCCTACTTTAGGTCATGTCTACAATAGGTAATCTAAGTCCTAAG